TCATGTCACCATGACAAAGTGATATTTTACCCGGTGCATATCGCATGAAAACAAATTATCCCCGATATGTTTGCCCTCGTATGTTATAAGCATTGTTATTATCATTCTTTGAGGTTGATGCCACCCGTTGAATTTTTTGTTGTATTTTGAGCGGTGAAACTAAATAAATGATTTCTTTGGTCTACCCATAACAATTAAGGTGTCAACTTCCACTGTATACCTTACAGAAAGAAGTTTTGACTTTACTTTGATAACGATCACATCTGATCGATTCCTTGAAGCAAATGATGCAATTCAATATCATTTCTACATTTTATTTTAAATGCATCAATCAAATACAACAAATGTGTAGACAGATTGACTGCTGTGTGACAAGGAATAACCAGGCGCCAGCGATTTATGATATCCTTAGCAAATGTAACTTAAAATTCCCTCTCATAAAAATACAATAATATGTAGTAATATGATGAAGAAAATATACGAACCAGGTTAAACTATGACAACACAATATATGAATGTATGATCGAAACATAAATCATAATAAATCACATATGATCAAAACATAAAATTGACTTCAAATATGTCATTGCGTCAACATTGAAAATAATTCGAAAATGAAGAAAAAGAAACGTACATTTCAAAGCGTAAACAAACAATATCCTGTTATTTTGGGATATGCTATGAAGAACTTCAAAATGTAATAGAAATAACATTAAATTATTGAAAGCTATTGCTCGTAAAATATGTCCTTGCGTCATTATCGAAAATAACTCCATAATGAAAAACAATTAACTTTAATTTTCGAAACATACACAAATAATCTCTGGCTTTTTTAAGACGTGTCACGAATAATTTCACAGCTGGTAGAATTAACATGAAATTATAGAAACCATATGCTACCACAAAAATTTGAAAATTAGTAATGACAAAGCGTTTGTCACAAACATAGCTATTACCCCCGCAACATGTCGATATCTGAATGTCGCAATTATTCTCTGTCTGACCCTGAAAATTATGTAAACGTTACCGAAACTGTCATCTGATGCCTTGATACAAAATGCGAACAAATTCCATCCATTAGGTGTGGAGATATCGCAAGAATACTCGCTGTGACCTTGAAAATAATCCGAAGGTCACTGAATTCGACTGGCGTTAGACGATACTCCCAACGCATCTTGGTACTACCTTTAAGCAAAACATATTAATTCTGTCTTGTATTTTCGCACTAAAAAGTTAGACATGTGCAAAAAACTTTTCACTGTGAACTTAAAATGAGCACAAGTTTCCCAATCAATTGTTGTTGGGGGAATCCCACCAATACACCTTGATATAAAATTGGATCCAAATCTATTAATGCTTTCCTGAGTTCGCGGCTACCAAGCTTGGCATGTGCACTATTAATACTTTCCTGAGTTCGCTGTTACACCATTTTCGCTGTGACCTTTAAAATGACCTCAAGGTCACTAAATTCAAGTGGTGTCGGTAAATCTCCAATCTACCGTCAATAAACCTTGGTACCAAATTTGAACAAAATCCTTCATTTCTTTCTCGAGTTCTTTCAGTTAACACAATGGGAAGTCATTTGAACAAGCGATTGTAGTTTTGAAATTGCTTTTTTGTGCAGTTTAATATCTAAGTTTGATTCTAGCCGACTTCTACCAATCTCAAACATAGCATATTTTGTTTCCTGAAGTTTGTGATGCATTTTATTGCAGATTTTACGGTTTTTTTGGGAGTACCAAGCCAATATACAAAGTCTCACAAAATGGGGATCGTGAGGCTGCAACATAGCAAAACCAATTTGCTTGAGGCTGACAGATAATATGTAGAAAAATAAAACATAAAAACAGCTGCATTTGTATCATATTCCAGGTGAGGCTGACTACTATTTGAACGTCCCTCGTAGTTATACCCGTTAGAACACCCATCGACCTCTCCAACTCTACATGCATGCAAGTGTGTTAGATATACCCGTTAGAAACCCACCCCTACCCCGCCCCCACTTTATATGTATACATATCAAAACCTCAAAAAGATATTTGCGAAAAGACATGATACAGAGGACAGTTTATATCGATTATATATCAGGACGAATATCATTTTCGTCATTTAGCTAATATTTGTCAATTCATTCTTGGGTTATCGCGCTAACAATCTTTATATTGGCAAAACCCTCAGATTTTTGCTGTGACCTTGAAAATTATCTCAAGGTCACTCCATTTCACTTGTGTCGGTGAATCTCGCCAATATACCTTGGTACCAAATTTGAACAAAATCCATCATTTCTTTCTTGAGTTATCGCCCTAACAAGCTTATTTGATGTATGAAATGCAACGAAAAACAAACACCTGCGTATTTACGAGTGATTAAAACTGTTATTACAATTGCCGTAAATATTTATTACATTTTACCGCAACGAAAATTATTACAATTTACGTCAATTTTTATTACAATTTGCGTATTACAATTTACGTCAATTTTTATTACAATTTACGTTTTTATTACAATTTACGTCAAGTTTATTATAATTTGCTGCAAGTATTACAATTTGCGTTTTTACAATTTACGTCGTAACATCTGTTACCCTGTATCCCATTATGTTCCATTCCTCCCAACAGTTCTGCAATGCTAAAGCCCTAAATGAAGCAAGTATAGATTTCCTCAGGTTCAGGGCTGAATCTCACATCGATTTAAAAGGACTTGCTTGTTTCTATCAAAATTGTATACATTCAGAGACTAAGCATTAGTCTACCTAAATGTGAATAGAAACAATTGTTTTCCGTGAATGTGATGTGTGAGCACAAATCAATTTCTGTCAACAAAAAATATTGCCAGGAAAACAATCTGTTCCAGATTCGATTTTTTGCAAGTTGTTAATATGTACTGGCTAGTATGGAGTTCATAAAACTATATCGTTTTAAACCAGATCAAAGAACAGCTTGTAGCTTTTTGACGCAGGTCCCGGGACGTCACCTAAGACAGGGCTTATGAAACCTGACCATGAGGTTACAAAGTCCTATCAGAGCAGAGATAGCTATGTTCTGTGTGTTGTCCTGGTACGAGCTGTCACAACACAGTATCATCATCATCATCATCATCATCATCATCATCATCATCATCACCATCACCATCATCATCATCATCATCATCTTTGTTGTTTTCAAGGCCAAATGATCCATTATTCATACAAATATATACGACCCGTGAAGTTGGGTTAGAATATGGATCTTCAGTAACCCATGCTTGTCGTAAGAAGCGACTAACGGGATCGGGTGGTCAGGCTCGCTGACTTGGTTCACACATGTCATCGGTTCCCAATTGCGCAGATCGATGCTCATACTGTTGATCACTGGATTGTCTGGTCCAGACTCGATTATTTACGGACCGCCGCCATATAGCTGGAATATTGCTGAGTGCGGCGTAAAACTAAACTCACTCACTCATACAAATACATACAGAGAGACATGCATATGCGCGTTACAATTTTGGTAGATGGATCATAAAGTGTTGTATAAGTACATGTATTTAAATAATTTAAGCAAAGTATTTGTATCATTTGAATTCAGTAAATATTTAACATTATTATATGTAACATTGTAAAGAGACAGTTAATTCCATACGGAGACTATTATATAATGGACACTGATAAAACATATGTTTCTCATCTTCTAATACATAACACAGGGGACATTTAGCATAATCATTTTCAGCATTTCAAAAACCTTGTCTAACATTTCGTTCTCTTAAACGATTAAAATTAGTTCTAAATAGAAGTAATGACCTTCTGTATTTTGGGTTATTCCTAGCATTAATATACAACTCTTGATTCAATACAGTTTTAATGGGTGAATAAAAACATGAAGGTTTTTTTTCTAATTCTCAACGCAATGTGATGACGATGTAACGATATGGCGAGCAGTCTGTGACGGTGAAACTGTAGCAATATATTGTTCCCCTTTCACTGTTCAACTGTTCAACAGATTCTGGTACTTTTGTTGGGTTGAGTCCCATCAACGCCCTCAGAGTCAGGCACCTAATCGCCAGCACACAAATCACCATCCAAAAATGTACTTCATTGAATACTGCTAAATATTTGTTTTATGCATCCGAAAAAAGGAAATCAATTTTGTCATATTAAGATTGTATATGCTGCACAAGCTTTCATTGTTATCATTCATTTTATATTTCATGTCTGCATCGTTGAGGTGTTTTTGTACTGATAGGCCTGTGGCCTCACAGTATTGGAAATAAAGATTTGATTTGATTTGACAAATGATAATATATGTCTGTGTGTTTGGCCGCTATGCTCCCACTACGTTGTGATCTTGCGTATCGAAATTGAAATGGTTGTTTGAAAAGGTTTTGTTTAGGGTTTTAAAGAGTTACGAACATATTTTTTTCTAAAGGCTTGATCTGTTCAAACTGAGCGTTAGCTTGATTGTGTTCTGTTGTGAGTGAGTGAGTTTAGCTTGAGTAATATTCCAGCAATATCACAGCATGCAGGGGACACCAGAAATGGCCTTTGCACATTGTAACCATGTGGAGAATCGAACCCAGGTCCTTGGCGTGACAAGCCGAACGCTTTAATGACTGGGCTACCCCACGCCTCCTGTTCTATATTGAATATACATGTGTATATGGTTAAACCAGTGGCTATGTCTGTGCAATGAAAGCGCTTTCTTTCGAAGACCATATTCGTTTAGAATTTGGAAATAGCGAGAGTTAATCTTGTGTGAACGTTTACACTATTACGAATTACGTCGTTGCATGCTTCTCTTTCCATTGAAGAAATACATAACATGGTATTTCACATGTTTGTTATATAAATAATTCTTTAAAATATGTGTAAAAAATCCCTGTAATCGATACACGTACATCAATATCTCCTTCATCAAGCGATGCAATCCCTGGTTGCCGTTGAGAATCGATGGTGATACAAAACAAATATTCCCTTGTCAGGCCATTATCTGAATCGATACATACAAGCTGTTTGTCTGAAATCAGATATCAGTTGCATGCTTAGTAGTATCATACTGTATGACCAAACGCTTCCTACTATTTCTGTTTGAGCAACGAAGATCCAGGGAAATCTCGAACAAGAAGACAAGGCACGTTGGATTATAGAAAAACCCAGTACGACAAATAACAGCAAGTAAGCAACCATCAGAAATCATTGACTACGAAGCCACGGATACAAACCACAGGAGACAACTCCAGCTGGAGTTATAGACAAGTCCAGGAACAGCAAACCATAAATTGTCCACGAGCAGCAATCAAAGGCACGTCCAGGAACAGCAACTATAGGCAGTCCACGAGCTGCAGTCTCAGGCACGTCCAGGAACAGCAAGCATTGGTAGTCCAGGAGCAGGGGTTACGGACAAGTCCAGGAACGGCAACTATAGGCAGTCCACGAGGTGCAGTGTCAGGCACGTCCAGGAACAGCAACCATTGGTAGTCCAGGAGCAGGGGTTACGGACAAGTCCAGGAACAGCAACTATAGGCAGTCCACGAGGTGCAGTGTCAGGCACGTCCAGGAACAACAACCATTGGTAGTCCAGGAGCAGGGGTTACGGACAAGTCCAGGAACAGCAACTATAGGCAGTCCACGAGGTGCAGTCTCAGGCACGTCCAGGAACAGCAACCATAAACCGTCCGCGAGTCACAGGGAAGCCAGGTAAATAATCCCAAGAACACAATAAGTCTATGGTATTGTAGGTTCCTAACGTTTCAGATATCAAATCGTTTGAATGATGAAATCAAGCAAAGCATTTAGTTTGGAAGTTTCCTGCTGTATTATGTTTTTACGATCTACGATACCGAATGACGCGATGGATCGGCCTGCTTATGAAACCTTTTTACTACTTTACAGACTGAAATTTACTAATAGTTTTCCGTTGATGCAACTTTACTACCACCTATGTATTTGTTTTTCAGGTGTAGTACTTTCCAGTAAAATATGATACCCAAACTGAAACGTGTTTTAATATCCCTCTGTTGTTTTGGGATATGTGGTTGTGTCTATTTTGGACTTCGGTTAACAAGGACCAAGGACTTCTTAACCAAACGTGACCACACAGACCAGTTCATTGTGAAGGAACAAGCATACTATCGACAGGCAGACTTGAATAACACAACGGCCAAAAGGGTTGGTGTAAAGGTATCAGAGGTGTCCGTCAAAACTGCGAATCCATTTAATGGAGAAGCCAAACAGCCAACTGAACGTATAAAGCACAGACCAGTGAGCTCATATTCTTTGCCACCGACGTTATTCAATGGGACAGACATGAACCCTAAGATAATGGCCTTCTTCACAAAGAATGCATCTGATCCTCGAGATCCGTACATAAATCTACACCAATTTGTGTACTCTCTTAACCCAAGTGTTTGTGCAAATACAAGTGTATTCTTGATGATGGTGATACACTCGGCTCCGGGGAATGCCAAGAAGAGAGATCTTATTCGAAAAACATATGGCTCTCTGGCCAAATACAGGGGAAGAACACTTGCCCACGTCTTCATAATGGGAAGAACTACTGACGACAAGCTCCAAAACACAATAATAAACGAAAGCAAGCTTTATGGAGATATTGTCCAAGGAAACCTTCCTGATAGTTACTCAAACTTACCTCAGAAGCATATCATGTCAATGGATTGGTATATACACCACTGTAACTCATCATACATATTAAAACTGGATGATGATGTCTTCATCAATCCTTACCGAGTCATTGACTTTCTTGCTGGTGGTGACCTCACCCAAAGAACAATGTTCTGCACAAAGATTTCAGGGAAAGGACCAGTGAGGAGTTCAAAGTATAAAAGCTACATTTCTTACCAAGAATATCCTTTTGATATATACCCTTCATTCTGTTTAGGCTATGCATACATCACTACACCGGAATGTTGGTATTCCATGCATGAAGTGTCCAAGAACAGCAAAGCTCTTCGTATGGACGACGTGTTCGTAAGTACTGCACTGGCTATGAAAGCGGGAGTAAGAAAAGAAGACTTCGGGAAAATAGTATTCGATTGTTGGTATCACATGAGTCACTTAAACATAGAGACCCTTAGAAAGAAGGCAATAGTCATAGACAGAGCAAATAGATGTGGCAGCCGACCTTTTCATTATTGGGATCACATAAAAGAAGACTTAGTTTCACTAAGAACGTTTAATAATTCTAAGAAATACCAGGAAAATAATATCGGATGATATTTCCCTTCTACGGCTGCTATTTGTACATTGCAGGGAGTGAAATAGCTGCAGAACATGTTTACTTTACGAAACAGACAGAAACAGATAACTTCGGACCATCTGTTGTTATGTGTCTTTGTTCAAACTAGGGGAAAGAGCTAGATTCACGAGTTAGTTAGTGGGTGAGTTTAGTTTTAAGCCGCACTCAGCAATATTACAGCTATATAGCTGCAGTCAGTAAATAATCGTGTCTGGACCAAAAAATCCAGTGATCAACAGCATGAACATCTACGCAATTGATATACGGTGACATGTGTCAACCAAGTCAGCGAGCCTGACTACCTAGTCGGTGACCCGTTAGTCGCCTCTTACGACAAGCGTGGGTTGCTGAATATCAATTCTAACCCGGATGTGCACGGGTGAGATTTACGACGAATTGATTCCAGTAGAATCATGACTTTGACGGTGTTACATTTATGTTTCTGGCGGTGTCTTGCCACTAACAACAGATTGTATGGCTTTACTCTTATTAAAATTAGATTTATTTGCGTGTGTGTTTCTTGGCTTCGTTAAGACCATATAACCCGACCCATTCTCTTACCAATTCAGTTTACCTGTAACATATTTATAGATGTACTCTAAATCAGGAGTATATATTTAATGTTGGTAAGTGAGTGAGTTTACTTTTAAGTCACACTCAGCATATTCCAGCTATATGGCGGCGGTCTGTAAAAACTCGAGTCTGGACCAGACAATTCAGTGATCAACAGCATGAGCATCGATCTACGCAATTGGTTTACGGTTTATGTGTCAGCCCAGGGAGCGAGTCTGACTACCCGATCCCGTTAGTCGCCTCCTACGACAAGCATGGGTTACTGAAGATCAATTCTAACCCGGACCTTCACGGGTTTCCTATTTAGAAGCCTGGATACAACATTATATTTTTTAAAGATTGTAAGTGAAGATCCAGGTTAGAATTGATCTTCAGTGGTTCATGATTGTCGTAATAGGTGACTAACGGGATCGGGTGGTGGTCATCGCATACCAATTTCATAGATCGATGCTCATGCTGTTAATCAGTGGATTGTCTGGTCCAGAATCGATTATTTACAGACCGCCGTCATAAAGCTGGAATATTGCTGAGTGCGGCGTAAAATTAAACTCAGTCACTCACTTAAAGGTTTCATCATATTACTTCCTGTGCTCCCCACACAACGGATTTCAATAACCTGTCTGTCTCGTGACTGAACGGACGAGTGATAAAGCTGGGCCAGACATATGACAACCCACAGTGTATCTGCTACAGACATGTATCAGCTGTGAGTTAATTACTTTTAGACATCACACGTACAGTTATTAATTTACATAATTGAACATAATTGCTCTTTTGTCGCTCATTTAGGGACCTGCGTGTCGTTTTAACAACTACCTATTCAGCACGGGTTTATTACTTTAAATAACAGGTGTGACGTATTGAAATATTGAGCTGTTATTGTCATAGTTTAAAATTACATTCGTCAACATTATCGTAAAACACGCACTGTCAGCAAATATAGATTTTGAGAAATATGTGGGCCCCATTCTCTGATTATGCAAACTGATATGAACATACTGGCACCGGCGTTATAGCTGAAGGGACCTCGTTTAGTTTAAGATGTCAGCCATTCATTGGAAACAAAACACGGTACTGAATTATTGTTATTTTTTTTGTGTCAGGTGTGAACATTTATCGCTACTGACGCTTATATCATATATTACAGTGACAGCGACGTTTCGGTGTAAGTTCTAACTGTCAGTGTAATAAGCACGTTTTTCATCCACATATTGTTACCATTCCATAGTGCTCCAACTTCTAAATGCCTCGCAAAGAAGTTGAGTTCCACAAGCGATGTCTTCTGTGAGAAAAGAATTCATTTGTGATACAGACCGTTCACTGAAGAGAGATACATTGATGTAAAACAATGGAATCGCACGAGATATATTGGTGTAAAACAATGGAATCGCACGAGATATATTGATGTAATACAATAGGATCGCACAAGGTATATTGATGTAAAACAATGGAATCGCACAAGGTATATTGATGTAAAACAATGGAATCGTACAAGATATATTGATGTAAACAAAGGAATCGCACAAGATATATTGATGTAATACAATTGAATCGCACGAGATATATTGATGTAATACAATGGGATCGCACAAGATATATTGATGTAATACAATGGAATCGCGCGAGATATATTGATGTAATACAATGGGATCGCACAAGATATATTGATGTAATACAATTAAATCGCACAAGATATATTGATGTAAACCTTGGCATCGCACAAGATTTATTGATGTAATACAGTTGAATCGCACGAGATATATTGATGTAATACAATGGGATCGCACAAGATATACTGATGTAATACAATGGAATCGCACGAGATATATTGATGTAATACAATGGGATCGCACAAGATATATTGATGTAATACAATGGAATCGCACGAGATATATTGATGTAAACCTTGGCATCGCACAAGATATATTGATGTAATACAATTGAATCGCACGAGATATATTGATGTAATACAATGGAATCGCACAAGATATATTGATGTAATACAATTGAATCGCACGAGATATATTGATGTAATACAATGGGATCGCACGAGATATATTGATGTAATACAATGGGATCGCACAAGATATATTGATGTAATACAATGGGATCGCACGAGATATATTGATGTAATACAATGGGATCGCACAAGATATATTGATGTAATACAATGGGATCGCACGAGATATATTGATGTAATACAATGGGATCGCACAAGATATATTGATGTAATACAATGGGATCGCACGAGATATATTGATGTAATACAATTGAATCGCACGAGATATATTGATGTAATACAATGGGATCGCACAAGATATATTGATGTAATACAATGGAATCGCACGAGATATATTGATGTAATACAATGGGATCGCACAAGATATATTGATGTAATACAATGGGATCGCACAAGATATATTGATGTAATACAATGGGATCGCACAAGATATATTGATGTAATACAATGGAATCGCACGAGATATATTGATGTAATACAATTGAATCGCACGAGATATATTGATGTAATACAATGGGATCGCACAAGATATATTGATGTAATACAATGGGATCGCACAAGCGTGGAGGGCAGACAAGCCGCCTGTGTTTATATTAGTTGTATATTACTTGTAAACTCTGAACGTGATGCCGATTGTTGATGCTATGCAATAAAGGTATTGAATACATGTGGCATCTGCTTGTTTAGGAGGACATGAAAAGTCTATACCACTCATGCTGACAAGTAGCATGGCAAACAGGGACAGATGGTCAAGGAAAATACACCTACTTGTGGAATGTAAAGATTTTAAAGACAATTCATTGGGTTCTCGGGAGGTTTTAAACAAAAAACAACAACAAAAGGAATAACCGGTATAGATACTTGATTGAGGCACAGGGTCAGCCCTACAAAGTGAGGCTCTCTGCATCGACTTTATGTGCGGTGTATTGAGAAAAGGAGCAACTTTAGTTGGCCTGAAAAATGAAACAGAGGGTTTCCATGTTGCGGCTCAGGGGCAGCCTGTTTCAGCCACAGGCCCTCGCGTCTTTGCGAGGATTAAAGACTTTATCAAATATATACAAAAATTTGAGATGGCCCCCGACTCGAATGCTTCACAGCATGATGCATTGTACTGTGAAGCATTTCGAGTCGGGGGTCATCCCAAAAACAATATTTTTTTAATCATTAATCCTCGCAAAGACACGAGGGCCTGTGGTTCCAACCCGAAACTGTCAATCTGAGATTTTGCATTTACACGTGATAGTCACAATTTTGCTATGTGCGATTTTAATTGCAAATATAAAATTTAAGTTATCCAAGAAAATGAGGGGATAATCCATTTTGGGGTGATATTATTTTGGGGAGCATTATTATGTGCGTAAAATGAATATTCCATTCACAACATGTTAAATTGCGTGCAAACATGTCAGTTTAGTTCAAACGACCTTCCTGTGGACGTGAACATTGCTTGCGTAAAATTCGAATTTTACATTGAAACAGCGTTTTGTTGTTCATTCAGTGATAACAAACTTTTAAAATCAATATAATGTTTTCTGACATGCAATGGCTCTAAAGTCAGAAACGGTTATGTGCAGTTGGCATGTTGGAAGTTGGATTTTGGTTTGGTTTAGTTTTACACCTCACTCAGCAATATTCCAGCTGTATGGTGGCGGTCTGTATATAATCGAGTCTGTACCAGACAATCCAGTGATCAACAGCATGCGCATCGATCTACGAAATTGGGATTCGATGACATGTCCAAGTGAGCAAACCTGACCACCCGATCCCGTTAGTCACCCCTTACGACAGGCATGGGTTGATGAAGTAGCCCGTATCTTCACGGGTCGAAGAAGACAGGTGATTGTGGCATGTGTTTAACAGTCAGTAATTACGTTGGTGAGAAACACTCAAACATCGATCTGGTCGACCAAGGCAAAAAACGGCACACGTTTCCTGTAAGCTTCCTATGTGATAAATTGAGAGTCGATTGTACAATAATGAGTATGTGTTTGACGCCGCAGTCCAATAGACAATTACAGTCATTGAACGGACGTGTGACAAGCCGTTTTCACAATTATTAAGAAACACTGATATTTTAAAATGTTTTAAAGATAACTTAAATGACAATTGAGATTTGAGATATGTATAATGCCTTTGCGAATGTGTACAAATTTATTCAAGATTTTGATTTAATTTCTAATACAATTATGTGCCCTATGATCGTAGTTGTTTTATAGGTATCTTAAACACAAATATTTTCTTGATATCTCAGTTACATTTTACGATATCAGTAATTCTATTTCGGATATCAGAAATTAATTAAAGATATCTTATTTACCGATATCTTAAAACAATTATTGATATCTTTAAATAGAATACAGATATCTTTAAATAGAATACAGATATCTTTAAATAGCATACATATGTCTTTAAATAGAATACAGATATCTTTGAGTAGAATACAGATATCTATATATAGAATACAGATATCAAACAATTAAAGTAATTAATAATTTCTTAATAAATGTGAAAACGGCAGTGTCCCTCTGAGTATGAGTCATGCGGTATTTAACACATGGTATCGGGTTCTAGAAGTCGCTACTTTAGCAATGAGAAAGGTTTATCTGCAGTATTGTGGCCATGAT